CTTCAGAGCATATCCCAGGACACTCCCCTTCAGCTCGTTCTCAAGGCCATTGGTTCTATGCTTGATCGTGCCACCGCTCACACGGACTTTCCCTGTTTTACTGCTGAGGATGTTATGCATCGCCTGCGTGCATTGCGGTGCAACATGATTTCCCTCAGCGAGGCTCCGGCCCCCAGAGGCATGCGACTCACAGAAGTCCCGGCCAGTGCACCAGTGTTCACCTGCCAGATCTGTGGCCAGCACTTCGCCACTTTGCATCAGGTCAAAAATCATGAAGGTCGGATGCATCAAGTGACTGCGCCTACTCAGTCGCCGCTCAATGCGTCTTACATTGCCAAAGGTGGGATGCCTACTTGCCGGTTTTGTGGTGAGACCTTTGCCCGTTGGGACAACCTCAGGAAGCACATACAAAACAATAGATGCAGGAGTCTCAGAACGACTGTGACGCAAGATACATCTGCTGTTTCGGAAGTGGCACCGGTGAGTGAATGCTCAGGACCAGCAGACGTGAGAGAGGCTAGTGTTGTGGCGCACTCAGACAAGTCGCCAGACTCACCCAACCTGGTTGTGGCACCCTTGCCACACCCCCCCGACCCACCTGTTGTTGTTGCCCAGCCCTACCCCGAGCATGCTCCTGTCTGTGATGCCCCTGCTGCAACACCGAAAATTTGGCATAGTGCGCAGCAGACTGCCTTGCACAACCGTGATGTGCCAGTGGCTGAGTGGCAAGATGTACGACAGGCTCGTACCTTGGAAAACATCGTACAGGTACCGGGTGTACGTGCGAGCCTGGTGCAAACTTGTTGTCTTTGTGGACAGTGGGTTTCCGCGACCAATGGGGTGCGCAAACATCTGCGTGCTGCACATGCTTCCGTCTGGCTGAAACATGAGACAGCAATTCTGCATCGCGCTAAGCTGTGGTCCAAGTCAGCTGTCTCGCCTTGTCGGCTTTGCCATGCTACCATCAAGAAACCACGTGAGCACCCTGCTAGTTGCACTGTATTTGCACAGGCGTGCCTCATGGAATTGGAGTGTAGAGGGACAGAGGGAGCTGACCATGACGGGGGCAACGACCATGGCGCCACCGGTGGCGACGGACAAGCAAGTGATGGCACTGTTCGGGCATGTCTTGACACCGATGGCGGGGGGAAAAGCTTTGGGGTTGAAACAGGGCGGTCAACCTCAGGAGATGGAAGTGGACTCTTCGCGCAAGCGCCCACGCCAGACGCGGCAGTCCCAACCCAAGGGCAAGGGCAGAGGGCGGGGAAAACCCAGGGACAAGGAGGAGGAGCCTTACTCCGATACTTCGGAGCGAGACCTAGTGTTGGCCCTAGGCAGGATTGTTCTGCAGCAGGCGGATCAGCTACATCGTTTGGAGCTGGACACAGGGTTCTTTCTAGTGTTGGCCACAGCCCCGGCAGCAGGCACAGTCATTCCAACCATGTTCGAAGTGGCAGAACTCTGGAGAAAGAAGCAAGTGGAGACCCCGGAGCAGATCAC